TGTTACTCACATTTGCAGATGAAAATTGCGCGGGCAGCCATGATTCCGCACCCTCCTGCCTGCTCTGCCCTCCTGCCCGGCCCACGCCAGCGCTTCCTGTAGGAAGTGTCCTGGCAGCCAGGCTGCGGCGGCTCATAGGCTGGCATCGTACTGTGAAGCAAGGCAGATGTCAGATGTTGCTAAATAAGCTGAGCAGTAAGCTCTGGAGGAGCTGGGTATATTCATCTGCACTGTGTTCCCATCAGTAAGCTTTGACCAGCTTTTCCCTCATCCCTTCCCAAGGGATTTGTGCTGTTGCTCTGAGCCGGGGGCCAGAGGGAGGGGGACTCTGGGTGTGAGTGGGAAGGGACGGCGTGGGGCTGCGTCTCTGCTGGCAGATGGGCAGGGTGGCCAGCCCAAGGGGAAGCTCTGGGAGATGGGGCTTCCTGGCTCTGGTCTCTCCCTGCCGTGGTTGGCAGGCAGGACCTCAGCCTGGCCGCCTTGGCATGAGCTGGCCGGGGGAGCAGCCAGTGAGCGCAGGGGAGTGTGCTGCCGTGCTATGGTTTCCAAAAATTTCCTTTGAGCTTCTCTGTTTCCTTCCAGTTCCTTTGCAACAAACTGCTTCAGCGGGCTGTTGTAGGCACAGATCTGCTTCTCGGGCCGATGCAGAGCTGGAAACCTGGGAAAGCTCCCTGGGAGGGAAAGGTTTATCATCTAAATCTTATCCCTTTACTTGAAAAAAATCTGTCCCTGCATCTCTGTCCATTCAAAGACGGTGATAACGTCTGGTCCTTGTACAGCGGGACCAAGGAGGGTTCAGGGGACACTTCTTGTGCTGTGCTTGACATTTTGGTGCTTTCATAGGGACCACCACAGCGTGGCTTGGAATTAGCATGTTTTTAAATATGCAGAAGTTGCTCACAACAGAGCTGTGCGGGGCAGTTGTGTGTGGATTAGTGTGGGCAATCACCGCCAAAGCTCCCCCTGCTGCGCTCTGCTCCAGCTGTGTGCATCCCTAGTCTTCTGGGCTGTTGTGCAGGGAGATTGAGCTGTTCAGGGCACACATAGTGGTGCACAACGAAATGGTAGGTGGCTTGGAGGCACCATCGCTTCCAGAAGATGTGTGCAGAATGGGACCAGGGCAGAGTGCCTGTGCATGCATGTGCATGCAGGTGGGTGCACCAAAGCCAGCCCTGTTGGGCAGGGACCTCACTTCGTGCATCATGGCTCAGAAACAGCCTTCATGAGCGGGTGGTAATGAAAATGCTGAGTGCAGATGTTGCAGCTCTTGCTGTTGCCTTGGCCGCTCCATGGAGCTGAGGAAACAAGGTCAGATTAAATGTGTGTGGAGGAATTTGGCAGGTCTCCTTTGCCTATAAAAGCAGCTGAAACTCTTATTCTTGGATCTGGGTAGAGAAAGGCTGGTGGACAGTCCACATACCTCCTCATGCCTTTTTAAGTAAGTGTGTTGGAAGGAGATGTTGGGAAATGCTAGGCGGGCCCCTGCCATTTTGTTTTCTTGCCAGGGATGGGTAGATAGGAGCATGGTACTCTTCTAATTAGTGCTAACGGGTCTGCTAGTGGATGAGCATGTGGCTGGGACCGTGTGGAGGGCAGGGGGTGAAGTGTGGGCTTGGCAGGGGTGGGCCGGCTGTCTCACAGGGTTTGTTTTCCCCCAGGAGAAGATCGGTTGGCGGAAGGAGGCATCTCACCTGCTGGTCTTCACGACGGATGACGTGCCCCACATAGCCCTGGATGGGAAGCTGGGGGGGCTGGTGCAGCCCCATGACGGCCAGTGCCACCTGAATGAAGCCAATGAGTACAGCGCGTCCAGCCAGCTGGTGAGGGGGGACATGGGGGACCAGCCCTCAGAGACCTCGGGCTGATGGTGGCCCTCTCTGGAGAGCGGCTGACCCTGACTCCAGCAGCTTTTAGCAAACACAGTCCCTGACCAGAATGGTTTTACCTGGTCCTGCAGTTTGCGAATAAAATTTGCCGTTCCCCTTGGGCATTCCCCCACAGTGAATACTTCTGTGATGCTCCAAAACCAGCTGGGAGCTTAGCAGGTTTCTTCAGGACTCCTTGCAAGCGAGGGAAAAGTAACTTGGTGTCCTGAAGAGCATTAGGTTTGCTGCAAAGTGTAGAGGAAACATCAAATATGTCATCCGTTTTCTAAAATGTCCAGTGGATTGTCAGCTTCTTCCCAGGGAGGCTGAGCCTACCTTGATATGGCTACAATAGCAAGCACAATAGGACACTCCTCTTATTGACGGCCTTTGCGCTCGACACTAACGTAGGTCTTAGTAATAAATAGACAAACTGGCCCTTTTAATTTAAACTCAGTGGAGTTAATTAAATTTAAGCTCTGGGGCCAGAGGCTAGGATCCTCGGAGAAGCCCTCTTTCCACCTCCTGTGCAATGCCAGCAAGTGCGTACGTAAGGGAGCACAGCCCTCGTACTGGTGTGGAGTTACGCTGGGCAGTTGGCACGGGGATGCCATGTTTGAGTCCTGGAGGCTCTCAATCAGCCCCCCAGCCTGCAAGTAAATGAGGTGTTCTTAAATGAGGACAGCACTTCAGAAGCAGCCTGGTGTTTTAAACTCAAGCTTGTCTCGTGAAAACGAGCCCTGGTTCGTTATTTTATTGCTTGTGGGTAGCTAGAGCAGTATCTTCCTGCCATCTTCTCTGTCTGGGAAGCCTGCAGAATTAAAGAGCTTATCGTAATCTCTTTATGGTTCCAGTATGCCGAAAGAGCAGGCAGTGGGTGTTTTGCTTTCGGAGAAAAATCATACACATCCACTTTCTGCAGTTCTAGATCTCCGTGTCTCGCCTTCCTGGAGATAGCAGCCAGTTTATCACACATGTGCGTCTGCTGATGGCAAAGCAGAAGGAGGAAAGAAAGAAATCCAGTGTTTCAGGTGTTGCTGTAGCTGGTGGTGCTGTCAGTCATATATTCTAGTGAAGGGCGCAGCAGAAATATTTAAGGGATGACAGAATTTCTACTGTTTCATTTGGGATTGTGCTGGTACATCGGGGGCTTCATCCCCCAGCAAAACATGCCCTGTGTCTGGAATGAATTTTGCTGTTGGGAGAAGAGCAATGAAATCAGTCTTCGTTTCTGTGTTACCAGTCAGTCTTTCTGCCCTCTTTGTGCCCCTAGGATTATCCTTCCCTGGCGCTTCTTGGGGAGAAACTCGCTGAAAACAACATCCACCTGATTTTTGCTGTTACAAAAAGCCATTACGTCCTGTACAAGGTAAGGGCCGCTGAGCAGCTTGGGCTGGGGGGGGTGTTAAATGCCCGGTGAAAGCATCCTCCTGCCGGCGCCGTGGGGCAGAGGCCGCCGCAAGCACGCGTGTGTGCAGCCATGAGCGCACGTGGACGTGGCCACGTGGGGCTGGCAGGGGCAGGCAGGCCGGACTCAGCCCGCCGATTCCCTCCCAGTCCTTCCAGTGGCAAGCACTGAAGCTTCTCAGAGCAAACAGATCTATGTTAGTGAGCATGTGAAGACCTAAAATAGACTCCAGCCTAATCTCGACGGTCGGATGGCTGCCAACCGTGCAGCGCGCGAGAGAGGAGAAACCTGTTCAACCCATTCTGCAGTGACTTAATCCCATTACCTAATCGCACGCAGCGTTTCTGCCCAGCTGTGTTTTTCCATCACAGAGCCCGGGGCCCCGACGCGCCACATACAATTTGAACTCCCTCGAAAGGAAAAGCTGGCCCGAGCCGCAAGGGGCCGGCCTGCGCCTGGAGCTGCCCCCT